AAGGAGGCAGGGTGGGAACAATGCCTAAAAGGGTCTTCTTGGTAGGGGTCGGGGGTGGGTTGCAGGTCTTTGGAGGCTGGAGAATCCGAGACAGAGAGAGAAGTGGTGAAAACGTCAGTGTCTATCAGAGAGATCAGAATGGTAATGTTCCCTTCCACTGACATTAATTTTGGATGTTTCCAGAAATTCGTTTTTTGGGGCCAGAGCAATAGGACAGTGCAGAACAAGACATTTGCTTTGCTTGCAGTTGACGTGGGTTTGATTCCCAGCATCCCCTATGTTCCTACAAGCCTGCTCAGAGTGATCCCTGAGCATAGAGCCAGGAGTAACCCCTCAGCATCTCCAGGTGCAGCCCTCTCAAAAAAAAAATTAATTAATTAATTAATTAATTAAATTTGACCAGAATTCCACTTGCAGGGACCAGCGATAGTACAGCTGGCAGTGCACTGGCCTTGCATGCTGCCAAGCTGGTGCACCCCCACCTGCCAAAAATATAAAACAGAATTCCATGTGCTGCCCTACAGGCCCTCTGGCTAAATGTCTGTTACAGAACAAGGCACGCTGGCCAGGGAAAGTAAGGAGGGGCCTCCCCAGAAATGGGCAGGACGAAATCTCCATCCCAAAATGGGTCTCCATGACACCCCAGCAACAAAGCTTTAATGAAGGTTGGTGGCAGGAGTCATGGAGGGAGTTGGACCCTCTCTGGAATTCCCGTGGACCATGGCTGACTCCCCTACGCAGGCTAGTGGATTATGAGGCCACTTGGGAGGGAGGAAGAAGGAAGCCGGACTTGGGCTGGAGCAATAGTACAGCAGGTAGCGCATTTGCCTTGCCAGCATCCCATATGGTCCCCCGAGCACCACCAGGAGTAATTCCTGAGCGTAGAGCCAGGAGTAACCGCTGTGCATCACCAAGTGTGACCCAAAAAGCAAAAAAAAAAAAAAAAAAAAAAAAAAAAGGAAGTTGGACTTGACAGACCAGCCCTCACCTCTGGGAATTGGTTTAAAAGTAGTCAGCAGCAGGGCCGGAGCAATAGCATAGTGGGCAGGGCATGCTATTGGCTTTGCCTTGCATGCAGCAAACCCAGGTTCTGTCTCCAGCGTCCCATATGGTTCCCTGAGCAATAGTTCCTGAGTACAGAGTTGCAGAGTGAGGGGTAACCCCTGAGTATTACTGAAAAACCAAAAACTAAAAAGAAAAAAAAAGGGAGGGAGGGAGAGAGAGAGAGAGAGAGAGAGAGAGAGAGAGAGAGAGAGAGAGAGAGAGAAAGTTGTCCCCAGGATTTGAGGGCTGCTTCAGCCTGCAACCCAGTGCTGCAACTTCCTGTGGGGGGCGGCGGTGACCAGGGGAGTGGGTAGGGACCTCCACCACAGCTCAGTGTCAAGAAGGGGAACCTGTTTGGGTCTTTTTTTTTTCGCCTTTTATTAAACAACAGGGTGGGCTGGAATGATAGCACAGCAGTAGGGTGTTTGCCTTGTGCACAGCCAGCCCGGCCAAGCCGGCTTCGATTCCTCCGCCCCTCTGGGAGAGCCCGGCAAGCTACCGAGAGAATCTCGCCCGCAAGGCAAAGCCTGGCAAGCTACCCGTGACGTATTCAATATGCCAAACACAGTAACAACAAGTCTCAAAATGGAGACGTTACTGGGCCCGCTCGAGCAAATCGATGAACAACGGGAGGACAGTGCTTTAATTAAACAATGTGTGGATTAGCCCAGATCTGTGGACCTCCCCTCCCTCCCAGTGCGAGAGGCATGTCTGTTTCAGCTCAGTGATATGTGCTGAAAAGCATCCAGGAAGAAGAGAAGTTTCCAGCACTGGACTGTGGTTGCCCAACGATGCAAATGCAGAGACATGGCCAAACAGGCTGATGTCAAGTTAGGCAAATTTTAAAGTCAAATTTAAATAATTTATTGAAAAGAGTATCACGAAGAGCAAACACGATTGGTCTGCCCCTTCCTCGCTTCTTGGCTCCCTTTGCCAGTGTGCCTGCCTTTCTGCAGCTTCTCCGGGGTCCTATGAGGTGCCGAAGTGCCTGTCTCCCGCTGCTACGGGGCTCTGGGGGTTAGCGCCTATGGTCCTGAGGCCTGTGGGGAAGTGGCTGTAGTGGTCCAGGAGACGTAGAGAATCAGGAGCTCGGCCTGATGGGTGCCCACTGGTACCCCTGACCTCTGTGACCCTTTTGTCCCGAAAACATCCAGAAGCCCATCAGGAACAGACCGGGCATCACTGGTGTCCAGGAGACTCCCTGGAGGAGAAGGAGCAGAGGGCACCACTGGGCTCAGGCCTAGGCTGAGCAAGTGGAGGGTGGGTGCCACGGAAACTTGGGCAAAAGAACAGGAGGTGGGCAGGGGAGGTGGGGGAGGGGAGGCTGGAGTGGGGTGGGCTGGAGCAGGAGCAGCCTGAGTTGTCTCTGGGACTCAGGTCCTGAGGGTACAGTGGGAAGAAGCAGGGGCACTGTCAGGTGGAGGTGTGAGTCTTGAGTGTTTGTGGGGCTGGAGTGATAGCACAGCAGGTAGGGTGTTTGCCTTGCATGTGGCCAACCTGGGTTCGATTCCCAGCATCCCATATGGTTCCCCCGAGCACCACCAGGAGTAATTCCTGAGTGCAAGAGCCAGGACTAACCCCTGAGCATCGCATCGCCGGGTTTGACCCAAAATGCAAAAAAAAAAAAAAGTGTTTGTGAGTGAGAGCACAAATGATGTGTGATAGTGTGTGTGTGTGTGTGTGTGTGTGTGTGTATGAATGAGTGTGTGTGAATGTGCATGTGTGTGTTGGGGGAGCTTCCAGGACTAAGGGACAGGACTGGGACACAGGCAAGACCTTGGCAATGACCACAGGTGAGCTGGTGGGAACCACCCCTCAGAACCAGATCTGGAAGCAGCAGTCAGACCAGGGGTCCTGCGGTGAGCTTTATGTCCACTTGCTGTGTGATCTCTGGCCACTTGAAGTCCTTCTCTGGGCCTCTGTTTTTTCCCCCTGAGGCAAATGCTTTCAGACTGTCCCTCCCCCACTCGTCCCCGACTGCTTTTCTAGCTCCTCCACTCCCACACCCCAAACAATCCCAGAAGGGTGGGACTGAGGGCCGAACCCCTTCCCCCAAAGCCCCATGATCTGCCAAGAATCACCGTGTCCCCCTTGGGGCTGTGGGGAGCCGCCCCCTCATTCCCTGGAGATCAGACTTGTTTAGAATGAGTCACCAGAGCCCCGGTGGTCTGCAGGAACCGGATGGGGGGGGGGGGCTTTGAGCTGTGGCTAGGGGGGTGGGGGTGGCAGGGATGTCAGCAGCTTAGCCTGGACTCTGTTTCCCCACGTGTAAACTGGGAGAAAGGGGCATCTGAGACTGCCAACAATACCCTGCACTGGGCAGTCCCAGGAGCGCCCGTGGGTCAGTGCCCTGTGTCCTGCAAGCTGCAGTGGGCACTTCAGGCCGTGTCTTGGACCTCACAGATGCGAGTGCGGTCTACTGTCAGAAAACTCAAAGAAGCAGCAGGGAATGGTGCTCTTCTCAGGAGCCGGGCCATGACCCCCAGCACCTGCCCCCAATCTGTTCCCCAACCCCTCCGTCACGGCTGCATCACTGAGCAGAAGCGGGGACAGGCCAGTTGTAAAACACAGTTACAGAAGATGGCAGCTTCACTCTTGGCCCCAGGGAAAGTCACATCCACGCCACACACAGCACAGCTGAGGGTTCCTGAGCCCCACAGCCGAGGCCTCCAGCCGGCAGCCACCTGAGTCCCCCAGCCCCACCTGAAGCCTCAGAAGACGGCAGGTACGCTGTGACCTCACATTGCCTCCAGCCTGATTCAGGGTGCAACGACTGTTTGCATCTCTGAGAAAGCAGCTCTTCATTGCCACATCCCCCTGGGGTTCCTGTACAGAGTTCTCGGTTCCCGGTTCCCTGAGCTTTCTCAAGAGAGAAAAACCATTTTACTATGCTGCTGCTCCTCGAATATAACTTCTGACCTCCTCTGCTTCCTGATTAGTCACCTGCCCTTCTGGCACCTTACTCTCCCCTTTTATAGGGTGGGAAGATTCGACCTGCCTCTGTGTGAGTCAGGGTGACGCCCTGGGTGGGGGGTGGGGATCAGGTCTTGGGGAACGAGCCCTGCTCAGATGCTCCCCGGGCTCTCAAGGCTTCTCTAGGGTGGGCTCAAGGCCCACCAGTCAGATATTTTATTTTACACGCCACTTTTCCCCCAGAGGATGAGAAAAAGCATCTTCTGACTCCTGTGGGTATCATCCACTGGGAGGCGAGGGCTGGCTCCTCCCCACACCCACCCCTGCTCACACCACACCACCTTCTCTAAACGGCAGGGTTTTTTCTTTTTCCTTATCTTTGGCCACACCTGGTAGTGCTTAGGGATCACTTCTGGAAGGCTCTAGCTAGGGACCATATGTGGTGCTGGGGATCGAACCAGGGTCAACTGTGTGCAAGGCAAGTGCCCTCCATAACCTGGGTTCAAACTCCCTGGCCCCAGCCCTTTTCAATTATAAATTTCCTGGTCTATCAGGTAAACTGACTGAGATCAGTTGTTTTTTTTTTTTTGAGTGAACTGAGATCAATTTTTTTTTTTTGGGAGGGGGGTCACAACCGGCAATACTCAGGGTTTACTCCTGGATCTGCACTCAGGAATTACTCCTGGCGGTGCCCAGGGGACCATATGGGATGCTGGGAATCCAACCCAAGCCAACCTTGTGCAAGTCAAACACCCTACCCGCTATACTATTGCTCCAGTCCCTGAGATCAGTTTTAAGGTTCTTGATGGGTGAAAAACATCTGCCGGTGCCCTGAATGTCCATCTTTGTTCAAAGCAAGACAGTTTAAAAAAAAAAAACCTATAATGCGAATACTTTATTATCAACGAGTGACTGGCATTAGCTTTTTTTTTTTTGGTCTGGGCATTAATATTTCAAAAATCATATACCAAACCCAGGTTTCTTCGACTGCCCAGATCCGCTGCACTGTATTTTTAAAAAATAAAGAGGAGAAAGGAAGGAAAGAAAGAAAATATATCTGTATTGAAAGAAGTATAAGCCAAAGTGCGTCTTTCTTGTTTTGTTCATATACACACATTGCACCGTACATAAATAATTACATTGTAAAAATGACTCCATAATTACAAGTATAATATATATTTCCATATAATATATAAAACTTTTATATTAAATCTAGGTAGATGATATCTGGGGGTGGGAGGGGGGTGGGAGGCGGGGCCGAGTCTCTGGGCTCCGGTGGGGGAGGGGGGCCACTATCTGTGGTTGTTGAGGAGGATTTCCAGCCAGCAGGGGCAGGAGGTGATGAACTGCCGCGAGTAGCTGGGCCCCCAGCCCTTGGCGAAGCTGATGCGCACGCTGTTGGGGTCGTAGGGGCCGTGCGCCGCGTCGGGCTCGGGCGCGTGGTGCAGCTGGCCCGAGCGCTCGAAGTCGAAGACCTTGATGGAGTAGCCGGGGGGCACCTTGCGCACTACGAGCGTGCGGCCGGCGCCCGGCGCGTCCAGCGTGGGCGAGTTGACGAAGATGGGGTGCTCGCCGCGGTTGTAGGCCCACACGCCGTCGGGCTCCTTGCTCAGCTGGATGCCGAAGCCGATCTTGCTGCGCGTGCGCCGCACCGACTCGCCGCGCTGCTCCAGGTGGAGCTGGCCCAGGCAGAAGCCGCTGCCCTGAGGTAGGTCGTAGAAGATGCTGACAGCCTGCTCGCACACCGCGTACAGGCGGCCCACCCGCGTCCGGTGCTCCCAGTACGCCACGCTGCACCAGTGGCTCGGCTTGGTGGCGTCCGGGGACATGCTGGTGTCTGTGGGCAAACACAGGAAAGGGAGAGTTATTCCCAGGGGTGGGCGCTAGCTGTGTGTGCCACCAACCCAGGTTCCATCCTCAGCATCCCACAGGGTCCCCCATGTGTCCCCAGGAGTGATCCCCGAGTCAGCCCTGAGCACGGCCAGGGGTGGTGCCAGGCCTGCCCGGGCATTGCGGGCGCGGTTGCCTTCATGTTCAGTGGGTTTAGTTGTCCCCCACATGTCACGTGGTTCGGGGAGAAAGCCCAAGGGTGCACACACCCAGTGAGAGGGAGAACTTGGGCTGTGTCCTGGTACCCCCGTGGCCCACCCCAACTCCCAACACCTGCTGGCTGTGGTCCTTGTAATTAAGAACAAGACATTCTAGGGCCGGAGAAATAGTACAACGGGGAGGGCGCTGCCTTTACACGGAGGTGATCTGGGTCCCATCTCTGACACCCCATACCATCTCCAGCCCAGCCAGGAGTGATCCCGGAATGCAGCCAGGAGTAAGCCCTGAGTACGGACCAAAGTTCAAAGAAAAGGAAGTTCCAGCAGGAAGCCAACCCCTCTATGCACGAACCTCAACACAAGATAAAGACTTGACCCTACGGGTAGGGCAAAGCAGCCACCACGTGCTGTGGCCAACCCACTCTCGCCCCTTAGGAGGGACGGCGTGTGGCGCCCAGCCCCAGCCAGCCATGGGATAGTCAGTTGCATCTAGTCCATCCACACCTCTCTGTCCACCTCCACAGCCCCGGCCAGGACTCAGAGCAGAGCAGGGTGACAAGGGTTGCTCTGCAGGACACGCTCCTGTGGTGGTCCCGGACCTCAGACCCCACCTCTGCCTGGGACCAGCAACCTGGCAGGGTTTCCGGGGCCACCCTGAGAGTGGGAGGAAGGAAGGGAGGGTTCCAAGTGCCACACAACAAAACCCCTCTTCAGACCAACACCTAAGGAGAGTAGAGATAAGGGCCAAATGGAGAGTTCCACGGCTTGGAAGCTAATCTCATGAGCTGGGGGAAAAGGCAGGTGGGATGGAGAAAGGACCACCAAGCAAATGATGGTTGGAAGAATCACTCAGGATGGCAGATGCATGCTGAAAATAGACTATAGACCAAACATGATGGCCGCTTAGTACCTGTATTGCAAACCATAACACCCAAAGGGAGAGAGAGTAAGAGGGAATGTGCCTGCCACAGAGGCAGGGGATGGGAAAAGGGGGGAGGGTGGTGGGAGGGACACTGGGAACATTGGTGGTGGAGAATGGGCACTGGTGGAGGGATGGGTACTTGATCATTGTTGGACTGAAATGCAATCATAGAAGTTTTTAAGTCTCTAATTGTATCTCACAGTGGTTCGTTAAAATAAAAAAAATAAAATAAAAAAACAAAAACAACCAGGCCTTGTGCAGAGACGGCGCAACCACCGGGGTTGATAAGGCCAGTCCCCCTGCCTGTGGGCAGCCGGAGCAGACCCAGCTGCTCCTTTCCCCAGGCTGCACCCCCCTCAAGGAGCTCCCAGGGGCAAGAGAAGCAGTGACATTCCAGCCTGGCCAGAGACCACTAGCCCAACACTCGGGTAGTGACCAAGGCCTCTGGGGGCTTCAGGGGCAAAGATGGGGCAGCCAGGATACAGGCTGGACAGCAGGCACTGGGCGGACAGTGGGAATGTGAAGCCCCCACCACCCACTTCCCAGCAAAGGAGGCTGAGAGTGAGGCCACGGCAGGTCAGGGTCTACATGAGCAGGTGCCCAGCTGGCATCCTCCGTCCAGGCTGAGCAAGCCTTCCCTCTGAGCCTCAGTTTCTCTCTCTATGACCACGCTTGTCAGTCCTAGGGGTGCTGACCCATCCAAGGGAGAGTCAGGACCCTGCTCCGGGCACAGGCCAGAGGGACTGGGGGCCTGCTGGGCCCGTCCACAGGGAAGGGGCCACTGGCCAGCACGTACCCCTCCCTCAGGCCTATGGTCTGTGCCCCCTCCACCCACCTGATGCCCATATGATGCTCTCGGTCCCTGGATCACTGGCTTGGAGCAGGGTACCCTGGGATTGGAAGTGAGTCCTCAAACTGCCCAGGGTCCAGGCTGCCTCAGTAGCTGGCGCAAGGACACTGACACCAGCTGGGCCAAACCTCCACCCTCACCCGATGCCCTGCACAAGGCCTCCACCACCTCCCGAGGTCCAGGAGCTCTACACCACCTCTGTGACCACTGCCCTGCTCCCTCAAGCTTCCGACTCTGGGTCCTCAGCGTGGCTGTCCTCACAGTACACGAGGGGTCCAGCCTAGGTGAGGTCCCGGAATCCAGCCCCTGCATCACACGACCCCCACAATCCCCCACCTCAGCTCTGCAAGGTGTGGGCCTGGTGTCCCCTCTCCTTCCCACCCGGCACTGCCAGGAGTGGCCCCCCACAAAGTAATGCCCACCCAAACACTCTCCAGGTCTGCAGCTGGCCCCGCAGGCCGGGCTCGGCTCTCCTCCCAGTTCCCCAGGGTGAAAAGCCACCAGAGAGTCACTGACCCAGCTCTATCCCCTGAGCCCCGTGTCATGGGTCACGTACGTAGCTGGGAGGTGGGTCCAGCACCTCCAGTGATGCTCAGGCACCGTGAGACACAGGGATCAAAGCTGGGCCTCCAGCATTCCAAATCAGGTGGCCAGCTCACAGATGCCCTTTCAGACCCGCACCCACCCTGGCATCAGCAAAACCCCATCCTTCTGCTCTTGCTGGCACCAGGTCAGCTGGGCGAGTGCAGGAATGGGACAGTTCACACAGTCAGGCTCTATGTTTGCTCTGTGGGGACCAAGGAAAGCGTGTCTGGGTCTGCTGGCGGGGCCCACTTCTGGCACGCTCCCTCTGAGCCCCTATTCTCCCGGAAACGAGGCACTAGGGTCCCCACAAAGGTCCGGGGCAGGGGATGGAGCCTGAGAGCCCAACACCAAAGCGTGACCCTGGACACGAAGGTGTCCAAGCCAGACGGGCCGAGGCACTCCTTGCGGTCAAGACTCAGGTCCCCGCCTGCGGATGGACGTTCGTGTCGCAGGCACAGCCCACCTCTGGGTTTTCCAGAAACTCTAGAGCAGATCAGCCGGGTGTGGAGAGAAGTGGCTGCTCAGGTAGGAGCTTCCCAAGGGATCTGAGGGTTCAGGGCCCAGAGTGACCACTGTGGGAGGTCACAGCAGGGCACAGTGAGCTGCAACGCCCCGGCTGGACCCCAGGGCCCTTTGCGAGTGACCCACTATAGGGGAGAGAGATGTGGGGTGAGTTTTTTGAGGGGGAAAGGTGGGTGTCCTCCTCCTTGCCTGCCGCTGGCAGGACAGGCCCCTGGACGAGCTGCTCTCTCCTGAGCTCGTGGCCGCAGCCGGCCCCGCCATCTCCCTCAGCCATCAGCCTAATTAGGAAGCCGCTCCTTAATTGCAAATAAATACCGGGGGAGTCAGACCCGAGTGAGCGACATCAAAGGTGACCGCGGTCTGACCGAAACTCCTGCTCAGTAGCCCCTGCCCGGGGCCTGGCCTCGCGCCCAGCCGGACTCGGGGTGTGCGGGCGGAGGGAGGGGGGGGAGGCTCAGTCTGGGACTGTGCCCCCCAGACAAGGCATCACTCTTCTCTCTCCTGGCTCACACTCTCTGCGATGTGGCGAACATTCCCCACAGCTCTGACCTCTGTGGGCAGTGGGGACTGGTGGCCCGGTCACCCCCAACTCCTAGGCGGAGACCCTGCCCCTGGTGTGGTCACTCAGGAGGTGGGGGGTCAGGGGGAACCTGCCCCGTGCGTGCAGGTGGGACGTGTAGATGCCCTCCCCCAAGACACACCCATCCCTCTCCTGTGCCCCTTGGCCAGCAGGGACAGAGCCCAGGACCAGCCCAGCTGGAAGTGGGCGCCTGTGAGAGAGAGGGTGACCCCATTTCTAGGCAGACAGACAGACAGACAGAGCGGACGCAGGAAACTGCCGAGGGAAAAGAAGGTGGGGCCGGGGCTCAGGATACGAAGGGACGGCAAAGAAGCCAGGACGGAGGCTTCTTTCTAGAACATTCAGGGGGTGGGGGGGGTGGGAAGGAGGGCTCCTGACAGGCTCAGGGCAGGACTGTCTGGGAGGAGGAGGAGGAAGACAGGGTCTGAAGGAACTGCTGGGGTCAGGGGGACAGTCGCGTCACCGCTTCCCAGCAGAGGAAAAGCCAGCAGGAGGAGGGCCAGTGCCCTGCCCTGCACACACAGCAGGACCCCTTGGGGACAGGCGTGTCCCCCTGATGCTGTGATGCACATTCCTGCCACCAGAGGGTGGTGGACGCCTGTGGTGGGCAGCAGAGAGGCTGGGCCAGGCAGCCAACCCCCCCAGGGCCCCCTCTCCCCCTACCCCAGCCAGCCCCTCCGCCCCAGGGAGGGAGCTGGGAGCCCAACCTGTAATTTTGTGGGGGTGCTGAGGCTCCCGGGGCGGGGCCAACAGCAGCCTGGGGGCGGCAAGGAGAACCAAGGGCCCAAGAAAAGCCTTTTTCCCCTCTTCGAATCAGCAGTTTTTGGTCAAAACAAAGGGCATGAACGTTCTTGGGGCTCCCTGTGAGACCAGCCACTCTGAGCACACGCATGCAAGGCAGCTGGTTTGCTGGGGAAGGGCCACACCGCCGCCCACCCTGCAGGGGCCTCAGTCAAGGTCACTCGGAGAGGGGACCAGAATGTGCTTGAGGGCTCAGACATTTCCCAGGAGGAGCTGAAAAGCCCCCAAGGGCCGGGCCTCTGCCAAAGTCATTAGTTCCCATAAGCCAGAGCCCCTCCGGCCCCCCCAGGGCCAGGCAGAGGGAGAAACAGAGGGGTGGGGGCAGCAGCCCAGGGAGGAGGGAGGCTGTCTTGTACACAGCCGGTACCCTATGGTGCCCCGAGCACCACCAGACATGGTCTCTGAGTGCAGAACCACGAGTCAGCCCTGAGCACTGCTGGGTTGGCCCCCAAACAAACAAAAGAAGTATCCCATCCAGAGGTGGAGGGAAATAGGGACTCAGGCCCCGAGAGACCCTGGAGAACTGCCA